GACCTCAGTCATCCAGCTCCTGTGAAACAGCTCCAATCAAACTGGAGCAGATTAACAAGTCAGAGGAGATAATAATAATTTTAAAAAGCATTCAACAACATTTAAAAAACCTAATTCTTTATGTTTTTCTCAGCTAGTAGAAATCAGTTTAGCAATAAAATCTTTCCTGCTATGAATAGAGAGCTATCAGTTTAGTCCATCAGAARTCACATAGGATTTTTTAATGGCAGTTTTTACTGAGGGTAAACACTATCCTAAATTTCCATTCAAAGTCCTTTATCTTACACTTTCAGGTACCTACTAAAATTCTAAAACCAGTAAAGAAAATAATAATTCTCCTTGCCCATTCACTTGTTCCTAATTCTCAACATAAAGAAATTGCAATGGCTGATCAGTAGAAGCTCCTCAGGAGGTTGTTCATTAGAAAAATCTGATCACTCAGGCTGAATACCAAGACCAGGTGCTGAATTCTGATCCCTGAGCTACCATAAGAGTTGGCACAATTCCCTCTGGAAGCAAGGTCAGGCCTAAATGCATGCAAATCCCAGCCTCTGAAGACATATGAAAGACAACAGACTGTAAGACAAAACAGAAACCTCCGCACTGAATGTTTTCTTAATCAGCACATGAAYGTCTCATCAATAAAACAGAGTTGTAGTTCATAACTATGACAAATAAGCAATCTAATACTTTCTGTATGATTTGGGGAAATGTACATAAAATTTGTCAGTTTGGCTCATGGTACAGAATGATACAACTCCTGTAGGTTTGGATRCCACCATAAATACCTGTTTTCCTTTGCTGACCAGAACTACACCACARTTTCCCCTGGAAAGACATTAATGGAAACCAGCAAATTTAATGACTGGGCCCTGGCTATATAAMAGGAATACTACAAAAACAAACTAAAACTATAATCTTGCCTTTGTAGCAAACAGAGGATAGAGGGTATACTTATGCAAACTTCAGGTTAAAGAGGGAACGATGCTGGTAGAACATTTAATGGACTCTAAGAAACCTGCTGAAGGATTTAGCCAGGAGAAAAGATGAGCACATTTAGCCAAAGACTTTAGCCCAAGGGCAAACCAGAAAGACACAGGACCATGTTCCAGATGCAATTCAGAGGGATTAAAACACCTGAAGAAGGTAATATTTTCAGGGTGTATTATTTTAACATAGATAATTAATGCACTATATCATACTGTTAAGTAAAAGACAACTTTGGCCTTAGAATCCCTAGGAATGTTTTTGCATGYTCTCTGTCATGGTATCCCTCATGAAAAATCGCAAGAAAATGCTGAGGATTCTGGGAAACAGTTTTTAACCTGAAGTGAGATCTTGAGATAGCTRCTCAGTTGCCTGAGGCAGTTGAACAGTGGATTCAAGCACAAGGGAAAGTACTAAAACATGAAACCTTCTTTCAAGTGTTCCTGAGACTCCAGCYTTTGGGCAGTAACCAGATTCCATTTAGTTTCCAAGGCACATTGGATCCAAGGATTGCAGCCCAAGAYTTCAGTATGGTGAGCAATCAAACAGAGAGGGTAACCAGATTCCCTACAAACACTATTCAGGTTCTCATTTTAAATTGTTCATATTTCCAGTTCAGATCATATCAGGACAAAAGAGTATTTCACAAAAGACTAACCTCAAATTCCTTTTGATGAAATACAAAAACACTATCGTGGTAAGCCAGAGTGGGGATTTTTCAGTGATAGCAAAGGATCTCTCTCATCACTTGAAACTACCATTTTCTATTTATGATAATACTCTGATGTTACATCTTAACTCCAAACCTTCATTAGGAACATATATAAGAAGACCTACTATGCAGTTACAGATTAAGAAACAGTAAATTTGATGTTCACACATCTCAATGAATGCATGTCTACAAATTCCACACCAAGTTCATTGGCACCTCCTGCRCTCAAATAGCAATAAACCTGCAACAATAAATCCTCTACAGCCATAGGTACTTGGGAGTTTACAAAAATCAGACTCAATAGAGTATGAGTTTTGCTTAACTCTTTATGCAAGTTTTCTGCTTCCTAAAATATTTATTTTAATAATTTTGACAAATATTCAGATTTTTTAAAACTTTTCACAGAAAGTTTGCATCATTTGAGGGCAGGGTCTTATAAATTAGTGCACACTGACCTGGACTGGGCAGAGACCCAGAACCTGTCTCTCCTCAGTTAGCTGGGTGGGAAGATGCTGGAAGCCAGAGCCCTACAAGTCATGTTACCGTAGCCTTGTGTTGCAACTGCTCTGTGTGGGCTCTCAGATGAATCTGAATGACCCTATCTTTGTAGATATGACCTAAAAAAATTCTCTCAAAGCTACAAATGTAGATGCAGTTGGTACTTTTCTTGTGTCAACTTTTGACCAATGTGACCAATCTAAATGTTATCTTTTTTTTAAAATCTGCATTAGAGACTTTTATTCTTGTATATTAACAGTTTATTTACTTGCCTCCTAGTGCAATCGATAATTACAACAGACTATGACTAATTTACATTRCTTAAAAATAATGTTTCTTGCCCCAGGTAGGTGGAATTTTGCAGAATATTAACCTGGATTTAAATTAAAGATTGAGATTTACAAATATCTGCATTCAACCTATTCATGAATCCAGAGAAGTAATTAAAGAAATTCTTGAAAACTTCAGCCAGATCAAAGACTTAGGTGAATACTGATATCTTKTAACCATCTCATATGACTCTTGCAGATAACAGAAACCAATTTGCTTTCTACAAAAGACACTGGTTATTGTCTCTGCACTTTCAGATACTCCTCAGGATGGATTCACCTAGCTACTAAACCTACTACCAAGTTGAATAATTTCAATATTACCTTTGTGATTTGACTGCAGAAGCAAATTATTTGTTTAAATGGCTAGTCCTTGAATGKGAAGCATTTAGTTTCTAATTTTTTTTCCAGAATAAACATTCCCCCCCCCAAAAAAATAACAGAACTCCAAACAGTAACCAATGACTACCTGAATTAATATCAAGTTCAGTGAAGACAAAGAACTCACTTGTTCACAGAACTTATAATTTCTTCCCCTAACAAGTAAAATTTTATTCTTTCCTCAAGTAAGAATTTTGACCAAATCCTACATTCACTTCAAACCAAGGCTAACATGTTGCTCACATAACACATAGCAAGTCACAAAGATATGCAGCAAGTGTTTAATCTTCAGTGGAAAATCTAGTGGTTAACCACGCAAACAAATTATTTAACATTTTGCTCAGGAATCATTGCATTTCCAACTCCAGAGTGGTTAACATCTGCGTGTCATTTCAGAACACATAGTTATGGTCAGGACATTCAGAGTCTGTATCTTCTAAAGCAAAAGTGTGGAAGTTAAGGTTCTAAGGCACTTGACTCAACCAGACTATTAAATTTTCCTTCTGCTGTACATGATCTAGCTGAGGYAATTTGGACAACCAGAGCTGGAAAACTTATGCTCAACTAAATGAATCGTGAATCTATAGAATGCTTAAATTCCAAAAAAGACTGAGAGCAGCAACATGCAAATTGAAATTTGTTGAAGAAAGGCAACCACAGGTAAAATAAATCTAGCATGGGATGTCTGTAAAGAGGTATCATGCATAGGGACAAAGTTCAAAACCCATTTTTCTGTCTSTTTGTGAGAAGAGCAATAGTATTTCCAGTGACTTATTAAAAGACCACTGAATAGCTCAGTCTTTTCCATTAGGAAGAGTCATGTAAGACAGGAAAGATCACAAAGATGCATGCAAAAGCAGAACAGGACAGGATAGGAATAATAATCAAATGTGAAAAATATAACCTATTTGCAGCAAATTAGGGCGACATATCTAGGCACAAATAGCATGCAGTAACTTAAATACTCATCAGGAAAAAAAATCATGATGGAAAGATGAAATATCTTGTGGAATAATCCATTTTTGGATGGAAGAGTCATTCATGCTTTGAAATACTAGGTCAGTATAGCATTTGCTTAAAAAATGAATGTTGCAATGTCTTACATGGCAGAAAACACTTCTAGTAACTCACCTTATGCTCAATATAAAAAGAAAGAACAGAAGATGTATCAAAGACCATTCACCTCTGTGTTTYCAGAAGCAGAGCAAAAGTAAATGGAGAATTTAAGTGTAAGAGGTGTATGGCTCTGGTAAAGCTGGYAGTGACACACAGCCTGTAATGGCCTTTGTACAACTCTCCTGCTACAATCACTTCAGTAACTGTGGATTAGTGGACAGAATAATTAATCCAAGAAATCTTCTTACAGCTGTGAAGCTGTAAACACAGTGGTCCACATGGCCCAAGAATTGCACGACAGGATCTTCTGTCACACCATTTCTAATAATTCTGCATACTTCAGGAGCAAAATCCACCTCTTAAATCTACACTCTACTCTTCCTTTTGCTATAAACATACGCTGAAGTTTGCTGTGCATGGAAAATCAGAGTTACCTGAACCCAAGAGAGTAGCTCTGTTCTTTGAAAATTCTTCCCAAAGAATCTGCAGCTGAGTATTTGTTCCTTATCTAGCATTTTATTTTGTTAACTTTTAAAACACAAATGGAGTTATAAAATACCACAATATATGATAAGTTGAAAAATGGCTCCATGCAACTATAAAAAAAAATTAAAGGAGATAAAATTTGGCCTGATTTATACTTAAAAGAGGAGGTTAGTACAGAGATGTTCTATAGTGTTCAATAGTGTTCTACAGTGGYATAGAGATTTCAATGAATCAGTGGATTTCCACAGGAAAGTATGCACACCATTATTAACCTCATGGACAGAATTTGACAATGTATTATTCACAAGCAGCATCAAATTGCTAATGCTGCACTTTCCAAAGAGATTTTCRTAACTTATGCACCCAAATTCCACTGAAATATGAGCACCCAGTTCAAATTAAGTTTTTGAACATCTTTCACTATGAGTGCCCCAAACCCCAAAGCACATTGTAACTCCTTCTTCTAAGACAGGTTTTTGTTATTGTATCACCTTTCTCATAGAGTTCTTCCATYGCTCTCCAGGTTTCAGCTCGGACCTCTCGATTGCTTTTACCTGGAACTTGTGCATCAGGCCAGTGCATCAGATAAAGATCTAAAAAAGAAACAGAACCAGGCTGCTTATTAAAGTGTTTAAAAATAAATATATCAAACCACGTGAGACAGCATTTTCCCTCCACAATGGCCCCTAATATATTATCATCATAATAGTTCCAATTACTTACTACTCGATGATCAGTACTGCAAATATCYAGTCAGTTGTACTAAACTAATTCTGTAACACTGACAACTAAGGGTAGCAAAATTTGCACATGTTCCACATGTTTAGATCGCTGTAATCAGAATTTCATGGTTAAATATGCATTTAATAAACTTTCCACACATAACAAGCCCCATTTAAATCAAAAGGGTTTTGGAATTACAACTGGATTACTATTTATTAAGTGCTGCAAGTCTTCAATTTCAYGGAAGATAAATATGTTTGACAGTTCTGCAGATATTTCATACAACTTCAGCAGGTCTTTTTCCTTTCTAAAGAATACTTCCACTTAYGAATTTATGTCAGAAACTGCAGCACATTCTTTATGCATTTTTTTTGCCTATGTTTTGTAGCAGCCTTTGTGATTTGCTGAAGAATTTTTTTTAAAAAATATTTTAAGGGAACAAAATTATGCTTTATTACATTTTWTGGAATGTTAGCACGATTTCAAACACAAAATTTACTGCTGATAAAATTATCACAGAATCACAGAACCTTTTCCTAATRTCCAACCTAAACYTTCCCTGACACATMTCCCTGCCATTCCCTCASGTCACTGGTCACCAGAGAGAAGAGATCAGAGCTGCCCCTTCACTGCCCCTTGTGAGGAGACTCTTTTGTGTGCTGTCTTAGTAAGAAATTACTATCCTTCTATTGAAAAAGAAAGCACTTCCAACACAGATTGAGAAATGTGCATGCATTGGACTCAAGAGTTCCAAATCAGATTTAAATTTTAAAAAACGGCAGTATCTACAACTCCTTTATAAGTCTGCAGACACTTCGAGGCATTCTGAAGGAGACATTTAGAGATACTTGGAAAACAATTACATTTCTATTCAAATTCTAACTGCAGATTAAACAGTAGCTGCAGGTATCCCAGTCAAACAGGTTTGGGCCTCTGCTGCATATATTAGTCTGATGAAAAACAGGAAAAGAAAATAMATAGATGACTGAGATATGTACCATTTTCATTGTGCTTTATAATATTCATTTTCTGGCAGTTCAAATACAGTTAAGAAATAAATCATGACTCGTTTGCAATGAGAATTTTTTGGTCTATGAATACATCACACCATTCATTTACAGCACCTATTTGTGAAAATACAGATCCTCTGCTTTATGAATAATGAACAAATGGGGGGAAAAAAGAAAAAAATCCTTTTATTCACAATAAAGGACTACACTGATAGTTACTACATGAGTGGGCCATGTATTAGCTTCCCTCCTCTAAAAATACACATTCAACCTTGCTTTAAGATGAAAATGTAACATGAAATTCATAATCATACACTGTCTCCAATTTTGGTACGTCACTGCAACACATTAAACAGAGTACTTTACTTAGATTGAGAATCTAATTAGAGCAGTACAGAATTCTGTAGAGTAAAACACATTAGAGATGTAGCAAGGCAAACAWTCTTTTGGATGTATCACAAAATTCACAAGTTACATTTGCACTTCCCGATGGTAATAACCCATTACACTTCTAAATACAATTGCTCAGATAAGCAATCACTTATATTTACTGATCTGCAGTATCTGGTTTTGYATCACATTTAAGGAGAAAGTTGCTAACTCGCCCTTTTATGCATAAAATCCACTTCCAATTCCACATGCAGTCCCAATCATCACCTATCTATGAAAAGCTACTTCTTCAGTAATTTCTCTGAGAAAAGAACCAGTATATTAGATATCAATACACAGTATTGAAACAATACCAATTCGCTGACATTTACTGAAAACTAGTGTTGGGATATTGATTAAAGGTGATGTTATGCTCAAAACTCAGGACTACTGAAATTCTGTTGTCAATAAAATTTCCTCTGATTTATATTAGACATAAACCCAAGGATTAGCATTAGGAATTGCTACCATCAAGTGTTCATTTTGATCCAAAATTATATATGCTGCTGGGGCTACTTACAGCATGGAGACTGCCATGATTGTATTTTGCTTGTGTAAAGCTGATGTCGTATATAAATAGGTGTGAGTGACTGGTATCTGATGCCTACCTCACACAAAAATGGAAGAATTATATCTTTTTAATTGCTGCTTGCTATGTTCTCTGAGCCAGACTAATAAGAACTGCTTAACTATGCAGAAAAACATCATTTAGCAAAAATAATCAAACTTCAGCAGAATTTCACCAACAGTTACTTCTCCATAGCCTGACTATTCAGTTAGACACCACAGTTTGCAAATGCTCACAGAAATGGTTACATCATGGATTTCCACAGACACAGATGCATTGTACTCGGCTCAGGAAATTGAAGCATTCTCCAAACAAAGACTTTTAAGAGATTTGATAACTGAAAGATCTCTGGCCTTGGATATCTAAAAAAATGCAACACATGCCCCTCCTCTGTATTAGTATCTGAGGCCTCTTTGATGCAAACAAGATTAGCTGTAAGTCTTTTATTGCAGAAAGGTGATCTTACCAGGTATACCATGTTCATATCATCCTACTATGCTCATTTCAATTTAGGTTTTTCTATTGAAATAAAAAAAATATTTTTATTAAAAGTAAAAACAAAATTCACATTTAGAAATATTGGCATTTAGTGCTAGAAAGCATCTACTGAACCAAGTCTTGCAGTCCTCCTGAAAGATGTGGGGCAAAGATGCCTTATCTCACAGAYAAACAGCAGAATAGTTCTGGCAGCCATATGTAAAGCACCCCAGCACAGCCAGGGTCTGCTTACTTCTCCTGCATCTGTTAGAAAACTTTCCATGATACCTGCAGGCCAATAAAAACAATAAGCACCTCACAAACCAAGCTCTCTGATTTCATCTTTATTTGTACACACATTCACACCCTACACCCCCACACACATTTTCTTTTGCTTAAAATATTTTCCCTCCTGGGGAATTATGAGAACACAAACACTTTTAAATTCACTTTGGAGGCCAGAAAACAGTTTAAAATCATTTACTGAAGTAGCTTAACGTTCTAGTAATTAAGAAATATATAACTTTATCACTGGAGGTTTTGAAGAACAGACTACACTTTTGCTAAGAAGAGGGTTGTGCCTCATAGCATGGAAAAGATTAATCGCTATCTTGAGATGCCTTCCAACCATGTATTTTTAAAAAGTAATCTTAAATCAAAAAATCCACCTTGATTCACATTATCAAGATGCACCTGAGAAAGAAGAAAAAACCTCCAAACATTCACAATCCAGTTTTGCGTTTAACAGCTTTTTATAACACCCTTTGCACACAGTCAAGCTCTAATGGTGCAGCAATAAGCGAAGGCCTAAAGGTCATTAAATGCCGATGCACAGTGRTTCAGGAAAACTAAAACTAACACTTGAGTTGCTTTCACACAGATATTTAAAATAGAATGGCTTCTTACTTTTTAGTGGTTGCAGCACCTACAATCAACACATTTCCTCTTACCCGAAAAGTACAGGCCCCTTTTATCCATTAAAAGCCAACAGTATATTGTTGTGGGAAAAAAGTTTGCAATTCTGTTCAAATCCCTAATAACATTTTTTTTTTAAAAAGTCAAAATTGACTAAAACAAACCTAGTTTGTGGGCTAGTATAAAAAACAAGCCCTGCCTTATGAAAAGCCTAAAAGCAGAAGTATATTTTGCAACATTTCCCAGCTGTCTTAATGAACTGATCATATTTCCTTGCTTTTCTCAATAGTCACTGCACCTAATATTGATATAATGTACTTTTCTTYTTCACTCAATCCTTTGTTTCATCTTTCATTCTTTTGAACAAGGATCAATATGAAACAACCTCTAAAGTATTTTGAAGCAATACAAAATCTGAATTACGAYAATGCACTCATTTCATGCGGCTCATCTATTACAGTGAACATGCTGATGGTACATTTGTCCACCTCCAGTTGGGGATTTGTGATATACCAGATTTGCCTGGTACGAACAAACTCGACACAGTCAAAAGGAAAATAAAATTGTTTCTGAATTTGGTAACCCACAAATCAACATTCAAGAAATGACTTTGGAGGTTAGATCTAAATCCCAAGGAATGTATTCTGCTACTGCCAAGCCTGTAAGATCTGCYGCCATTCCATAATGGTTTGCTGCGACTGCTAGTTGAGGACCACATTCAGAAAATGGAAGGAGCAGGGTATCTGTTGCAACCACAGCCCACAAATAATGCAAATTTCCAGCACGTCATGGATATATAATCTTCAAGCTCAAATAAAAATTCTGAAACACTGCTCTCCTAGGACCCTTTGTCAGAAGTGTTTATTGAAAAGGCTTCATAACAAGTATTTTACATGGAGCACTTTTTCTTTGTTTAAGGAGAAAAARCATTTTTTAAAAAGCTGTGGCTGCTTTCAACAGCTTATGTTTCAACAGCTGCCATTTCATATAAGGATAATGTGCAGATTTATTAATTCCAGTTTTATTATTAATAATTAGATTATTTCTCAGCTTTCTAATTCAGTCTTCGTGGATGGACTGTGCAACCCATGCGGACCGTCAAGAGAACAAAGAGCTTAGCTGCACATTTAGCTGCCAGGGCCCCTGCAGCTTTTGCTTTTTGTAYTCTTCCAAATTACTACCTTTCCCTCCAATATAAAGGTCTAACATCACAGATACGTTATTTAAGATATTTCAATTTTCTTTATGAAGTATGTATCTTTACGGAAGATCTGAACCCCCTCTCACATTGTTAGTGTCATAGAATGAAATCAGGAAATTCTGATTTATTTTGACCAGCATTGATTTAGGTTACTATGGCAGACCAAGCAGTTGAGGAACAGCTTAAGAAATTTTTCAGACATCTCCACATCAGTAAAAGAAAGGTGAAGAAAGAGGGAAGATGGGTGAGGGTATTAAAAAAAAGCCAAAAATATTTTTAAAAGGGAAAATCTAATAAGGAGACAAATTGTGCAGGCCACTGTAACATTCCTCAACAGCTCTTAGTAATATAAGCACAAGAAGACTCAGCTCTGAACACGTCTGACAGACAAGTCCTGTTTATGCCATTCCAAGGATTCACTCACATAGTGACAGTATTAGTACATTTTTTGCTCTCAGATATTCTTTTTCTCCTTTCAGGCTTTTCTGCTTAGCAGCAATATGTAAATTCAGTATTTGTGMGAGCATCTAATCCAGTCTACTACCTGAGAAATAAGAACAACTTACAGTATTAGAAGGAATCACTGMAAATGACTTCTTGGAAGTGAGTCAAGTTTTCCTCTCATCAACATTCAGCACCAGTGCCAGAGCAAGCAGAAGAAAACAGAAAGCAAACACAAAATATAACAAGTAGAAAACAGAGACAAGGAATAATGTTATTTTGCAATTTAAAGGAAAAAGTCAAGGCTTGAAACTTTGCTYTTGAAAGTCTCATTGCAGTCACTTGCATTTGCATGGGACAGACAAAAAAAATTAATAATTTTGTATTATTCTGTACCTGTGGAGGAATTAAGGGACACACTTACAGAAAGAATGGAGCCAAAGACATGCATACAATTATCTCTGTCTTTAACAGACACAAGTTTTTCCCTGTTCACCTTGTAAAGTACTCAAGAAAAAAAAGGCAGTGAATACAGCACACAACTGCCATTAATATTATACATTRTTAAGTAAAATTCACTTCCTCATTAAAGTTTGTTTATTGCTAAAATAAACAAATATCATGTTTATTGTCAGGTACCTCCTCTCCTATGTCCTGTTGCAAAGAATTAATTGGCATCATTATTGCAACTGTGCCTGTCTAATAAGGGAGTAACAATATCACATCTTTGACTACTAGAAGTTTATGATCAGGATAAATTTACAAGTTTGGTGTTAGTTAAGCTTTAATTTTAGTTTTCTAAAGTCTTGTAGACACTTCTGACATTTCCCCCAAAGAATATTCCATCAGACAGACCAAACAAAAAGCAGTATTCAGAATTTTTAGAAGTTAAAAGATCTACAAAGAAAGGACTCCCATTCCTTGAGAAAACAGATGACAGAAGAAACCAGGCATCTTTGTCATCCTGTTGCCAATRTATTATTGTAAAGTTTATGAATCCTTGTTTGGAATAGGGTTTGGGTATTTTTAGCAAAATATATAAAACTCTGGCACTTGTTCCTCAAATAATTTTAACTATAAAAAATAACTTTGCTAAACACTTGCAACAGAAAAAAACTGTGCTCTCAGTTGTATGCATGCGAATTTTCTAGAGAACAAAGAGAACAAGAAACCTGCAAATGTGTAAATAAAGGCAAAATTTGGTTTCTGTGACTCATCTGTACTASACAATTTTTTTCAGGAATTCATTCACCTTTGCAAGTACTCACATGGAAGGCACAAGAAATGAGCTATATGCAAAGATTCATACCAAGATATTGAACACCAAGTCTTTCACATGACTCCAAGCAGGCCTTTTTTGTGTTTTCATAGCCATAATCACTATGCCACAGTTTGGTAGTTATCCAGAGGTCCTCTCGCTTCACACCACTCTSTCTGATGGCCCTTTGGAGCAGGGATTCACAGCCATATCTTTTTGCTGTGTCAATATGACGAATGCCACATTTCTGTAGGGCATGGACCACCGCAGCATGGGAATAGCCACCTTGGTGGGAAGTACCTAAAAACAAAAGCAGAAGTGACTTGTCAGCAGTGAATTATGAGGGGTATATTTAAGCATTGTTTTTTGTTTTTCTTTTTTTTTAATATATTGTCAAAGAACCTTCTCATTTAACTTTCATTTCCTAATAGCAAAGAAATGGGAATTGACTGATCTTTAGGCTTAGACAATACATGAAGTRGGAGACATCATGCTGATCAGAACTAGCTCCATCAAAATCAAACATCAACAGCATTCATCTGTAAAGAGGTGATTTAAAGAGTTAGGCTGAAAATCATTGAAGAGAAAACACATACTTTATGGAAAATMATTTTAATTTTGTCCCGTAATTTTCATTCAAAAGCACAACATTTACAGGTGAAAATATTTAAAAAAACCAAAAGCCTAAACAACTTTTAAAGCAATTTACTTTGAAAAAAGCACATTCTGAAACCTTTACTCTGTTGAACTCCTGGTAGCTCAAAGTTCTTATTGCATTGTACAGTTGCAGGGTGGGCCATATGCAGGTGCCATTCACATAATGTCACACTTAGCAGTAACCAAACCCATGGAATCCTACACAAGAATTACGGAATGGATATGCAGGGAGYTTCAATAACTAAATCCTGTTACTGTCATTGTGAGGGATTCACTGGATGTGTATTTGGCATGTCAAGGGGACGGAAGGAGGAGGAGACTCGGCAGGAAAAGCAACCAGCAGGAGGACTTCAGATAAAGAACTGGTTGAGAGCAAGAAGGATGATGTTGCTACTTACCCTTTCCTGTTAGTTGTTTTTCCTGCCATGAGCCCCTCACTCACACGCTTCCCACAAACAGTATTTTCTACAGTTTGTTAGAGGAAATGCTCAGTCAGTTCCAGTCAGCTCCCAAAGYCACCTCCTACCAAGCTGATGATTAGTACTTAAAGGCCCTCGTGCAAAAAACAACAGGGAGTTAAAATGCCTCCATCACCAACTTCACCCTGCACAGTCCTGAAMAGGCCACAGCAGCAGGGCTTCAGCCACTGCTCAACCTAAATAAATGAATAAAGGACTCCTGGTCAAAGAATGATTTAAAGTGAAATCTCYGCTCTTACCTTTCTCTTTCYCTCCAAACAYGGTATTYATTTCTACCCAAAATACCATCTGCMCATTACWAAATTACCCCTGYGAATGGGCACCCAGCCTGCCTGGAAAAGGACACAAATGGAAGCAMCCCAGGTGCTCTTCCTCAGAGCCTCCTGACCCCAGTAGGGGTGACGATGCCCGGGGGAGGCTGCAGGACTTTCTCACACATTTTAACAACGCACGGAACTATGAGGAGAACTTGCATGGAAGGCAAGCCAGGTTTTCCCAAATGCTTATCATTTTTGCTCATTCCTGATCTTAGAAGGAAAGCCAATGAGCCTTGCWCAGCACTCAAAGTCACTTAAACTAAGATTTCATATGGTCTGATCTCCCACCCATACACATCAGGATCTCATCATTCTCCCARTCACAACAGGACAATTTCCACTTCATATTTGAGACCAACAAAATATGAAGTAGTGAATTCTTATGYTCATGGATTTTAAATTGTTGAAATTATAATACTATATTCCTACAATTTTGACATGCATAAGTAATTTGCTTTCCAAACATAAAAAAGTTTTAATGTTCTAAAAACCGAAACTTTAAATCTTTTCTCTTTCATAGGCACTAACTATGATTAATAATTGGCTTAATTTCTGAGCCAAATAGAAATAAACATCTTTACAACTTGTTTAYATCAAAATAACTTAAGCTAAGCCAACTTGTGCTTTCAAAATAGCTATTTCAAAATCCCCATGAATGTTYAAGAATTTGAGATGACTGCCATGCTACTACATTGCAATTATGGGCAAAGAATATATATGCAATTTTACATCATTCAAATCATAAAGGAATTTTATTAAAGAATTACATAACTAGCATAGAAAAATTACTATACTTCTTCATAACAAACCCTTCACTTTTAATATGCTGGTATTGGTGCAAAACAAATGAGGTTGTAACTATTGTGTCTGTTTCTGGCTGAATGGACATTTCTAAGCACAGAATGAATGGAGTTCATTTAGAGGTCTTGCAAATGGACTCAGACTCTTTTCATGCATAATGGATTTCAGTAAGAACATTTAGGACAAACAACTTCTTTTTTTTAATTTAACCCTTTAAGTTAAAGCAAGAGTGTGGTTAAGAAGGAAAAATCAGAATAATTTTGTTATTGTTCCCCATTCAGTGATGGCACACACACTCATTACACAAGAAATAAAGACAGCAAGATCAATCTGGAGGAAATTATCTCAATTTCTATGCCTAAAAATGAACTACAACAATCCTGGTGCACTAAACAGTAATTAAAAAGAAATCARCAATTATTTAATATTACCACTTTGCAGGCCAACTTAATCATGAACAACAGGTTGCTAAGTTAATTATGCAACTAACACTTCTAGACTTYAGAAATCACAGTTTTCTTGTGTTTACTCATGTGATGAAAGAAGTTACAACTCATAACTGAGTTGCAGAAGGGTCACAAAAGAAGGTGGACTGACTGAAATTTCTAATTTTTTTTTGCATTAGAAATCCAACCAATGCTATTTGAACACATTAACATTCTTACAGGTTTGGGATTCCCCACTGCTCATAGAGATGTAATTCACACTGTACAYGTATATTTAAAGACCAAATCCAATCATGCATTTTAAACTAGCATGCACCTGCATCCTTCTCATGTCTTTTCTGTTTCTAAAAATATTTAACACATATTTTTCCCTAGAATTTGCTGAGAAAAAATAGGAATTCCTTTCAAGAATCTTTGTCAAATGTAAGTTAGTTTGGAAAAGCTTTCTAATTTTTAGCTAATATTTTGTTTCCTAGGGAAATATAGCATTGTTACCTCACTGACCGAACTAAGCCAAATTATGCAGATTGGAAGATGTGCAAAGTAATTGCATTCTTATGGATTTTTTGAATAACTGGTTGTTGTAAGAGACAAGGATACTGCAGTGAAAATATGGCTAGGTCAAAAGACACAAATCCATGGAAAGTAGGCTTAATTAGTTACACTGTTGTTATGTCACAGTTACTCATCACTTTCACCCTGAAGAGCACTGCCATCAAAATCGGAGAGAGAAAATGCCCTGACAACCCATAAAATGATACAAAGATTATTAAGAAGGCAGAATCCTGTTCACAATGCAGTTGCTACAGGAGAAAAACCCCAACACGCCGATTAACAACACCTCCCCCAAGCCCTCAAAAATAGAAAATCAGCAACATCTCCACCCCTGACCCCATCAAATATGTAAAACAAGTTACAAACCCCATGCTATCCCCCCTCCCAGATTTATGCACCATCTCAGCTATCAGCCTMATTGAACTTTCTGGTCTCCCTCATGAAACTGTAGAACTACAGACAACCAAAACACCAACAGTTTTTCAAAACAGACTCAGGATCTACTTTCTCTCTCTGCTTTCTCCCTCCCTTTGTGAGAAGTGTGTCTTCATGTTCTTTGTGAAACGTGAAACGATTATTCATTTGAATATATAAAAATGCCCTGTGAAATAAATAATTTTGGCTACTTGAATTCAGTGGAGTAACATTAAGAAAGTTCCTGTTGGTTAAACCCCAGCTAGAATATTTACAGATAATATTAAGGATTAATGTTCTTCTGACATTAGTATTCCAAGTAATCACTTTAAAACTCTCAAAAGCAAAAGCTGAAACATCCTTTTATCAATTTTACACCCTCGATGTGTATTTATGGTACCGTATACCACAACAGGCTTGAAATACCTGATTCTGTTAGTTTTACTTCTACTATTTCAACACTACATCAATGTAACACATCTTATGAATATATTGAGTTTTTTGGTGTTCATATAGTTTGATTTCCTAATTACCTTATGAGAAAATGTGATGATAAAGCATAAAATATTTGCTGTACATAACGCAAAAAAAGATATAACACATTTCAAGGTTAACTGCTAATCCATTCACAAAACCACATGACTCTTCTATGGAAAGGCTCAAGGACAGGCAATCCTTACTTGCTGTCCTTGCTGTCTGTCTTACATCCTCCTCCTAATTCTGTATTCATATGATCCTCTGACAAGCTGACTTGGATTGTTAAATGGTCAAAAAAAGAGAGTACAGTTTCAGAATTATTCATGAACCTGAATAATAACTCAGAGGAGAAAATCCACTAAATTTCAGGAAAGGGATGGAGCAAAACAAGTCTCCCCTTTAGCAGCAGCAGCATTTATTATTTAATAAATGCTTTTATTCAAATTAGAAATAAAAAAAAAAAAAAACAAACAATCACAATTGTGTCCTAGCCAATCAAATTATCAGAAAGACCTTCTTCATGAACTTGTCTACTGGAGCCTTTCTTTCCATTATGTTCCCCAACACTATCCCTACAGCTGCTCTCAGATAAGCAGATAATCACCACAGCACTAGAAACCCAAGTGTTCTTAGTGCCATAATAWACTATTTGCCATAGTTTTTTTCCTAACAGGGTCAATTACTCTGAAAATCCTATGCAGCATCACATKGCAAAGTATTCAAGCATCCTCTCCGGGAGCTTAGGGCTTTCCTCTGCAGAAGGTGAAATCAAAGTCAACCTCACTATGAAGTTATACTCTAAAATTTTCATGAGGYAACTAGAGAGTATTTCAAGTTAAGAGATCCAAGTTTAATAAACAATTACTTTYACAAAATAACTTGGTTATTTTATTCAGCATACAAGACTGGCACCCAATGTGTGTATAAAATAGGGAAGCTACCCCTGAGGGAATGGAGCCTATAGAGACAAAGGGCTTCTGGAAAAACTGGTAGGATACCACCAACAGTAACAGAAAGACACTGAGCAGATTCATATTATATAACCAGTGGTTCCATAATTGGTCAGAACAAAAGCAGCACACACACTAATTTAAAACTCACTCATTTAAGACAAGTTTCTCCTACCACAGTAAAGGTTATCTGGATTAAAAATGGTGTAATTTTTTTAGTATGTAAGTTTTACTTTGGTAACGCTTCTCTTTTTGATTCCTTTGTTTGCTTGCTTGTTTGTCTGCTAAATACAATCCATTGCTTAGTGCAAAGGTGGCATTCTGGGGCTGTTCTTCCCCTGTGCGACTCAGAACAYGCTAACAGAATGCAGTAACACAAGCAAAAAAAGAGTAAGCAAGCCTGATTTTAAACTCTGCAATTCTACTCAGGCAAGTCGACACAGGCACCAAGAAATAAAATGCAGGAATACAGCCTTGCCTCAAGGCAAGAGGATAGGAGAGAGCCATTACGTATTTATTATGTATCCAGGGAAAGGGAAGCCAGAATTGCTAGTTTTCTCTCTTCCTGAGAGGAAGGAAGAAATGGCAGTGAGCCATTGTTGACAGAAGCACTCTATTCCCTCCATCCCAAAGAGGCTCTGACTGTAAAGGATATTCAGATCATCTACTGTAAAATGACCACAGGTTTCTGTTCACTGACCTACCATTTATCTCCTCAGAACCTTAAACAGGAAAGAAAGTGCAAGAGCAMCTTCTCAGAATGTGTCTCAGCAATCCCAGAAAGTCTGCAAGTGGCATATGACATCAGTGGGATGCTATCGCTCTGATATGGCACCAATTCATTACTCTATTTCTGGCAGCCAAAATACACTATCACCACAAAAATGCAAATATTATTTTCAGCAATAGTAAAGAGATTTCCACTGGAAAAGTGCCAGCTACTTAAATTATTCATSTGTAGTAGTCAAATATTTTAATCATCAAACCTATCAATAAAATCTGGAAAGAGACATATAAATTTAAAAGACAATTATGAATGTGTAATTCATGTAGAAATTTCATAAGCAGAGCAGCAGCACAGGTTTATTTAAATGTCTTTACAGACACACTGCCAAATCTTGAAGCCTTTCTTTCACTCCACACTTTCCCACCACCGTGAGAACTATTTCTCATTAACAACCAAATTGGTTTCAGATGCTCTGCTATAAGATGTTACCTTAGAAACCATTTGGTAAAAGACTGTGGCTTCCTTCCATAGAAATCTCAAGCAGTGAAAAGGCAGATTTTCTGGCATAAATCAAATCCAATTTCTAGGGTTCACTAAACCTTTTCTCCTCAGAATAATGTTTTGTGACTAGATCTTAGCAGTTAATAGTGCACGAAGAATTGCTGGTGTGAACCAGTTTTAAATTATTTTCATTCTATTCCCTTTGTTAAGTCAATTGAAATTACTTCCAGTACTTACCATAYCTTGATAGAACCTCTAACTTCATAACTAATAAGCATATTTACTATGTACAGCAAATAAACAGACTGAAGAAAAATATTATTTTTCTTCCTTTTTAAAACATGACTCTAGAATACTCTGACAAGGATGACATTAATTAATYAATATTAGACATTTGGAAATACTTCACAAATGAGACAAATACTACAAATGAGACAAACCTGTGACAATTCTTTTCTCCTCCACAAAACTTTCACAAAAAAACAATGATCAAAAGAAAAAAAAATATTAAGTCCATATTCTGTACTTAATTAGAACATTATCATAATMATTCCTTCTATGAAAGGTTGATCTAAAAATAAATTATATAAATAATTTATGGTTATGCATAACCAAAATTCAATTGTATAGAGGGACAAATTTARTAAGTGTAGTTGAATATGAGACCAATAATTCAAAGCCACTTAAAATACTGTAAAGAAAATATTGTAGAAAAAATTATAAAGAGCTCTCTGATTTGTAGTGACTCATAGCTTTACACAATGAAAATGTATGCACAGTAATTACCATTGTGACATCCTAATTCAAGCTGATGGGTAATTTCTGACATCATAACAGAAAATGCCTTTACTTGCAAAGTGCAATTGSGAATCATGACAGATCCTCCTTCTGCATTACCATGTGACACTGCGAGGTCTGGGACTCGCCGTGTCCCACCAGTGACTGTGTTCATGAGTTCCAGGACAGCAACAAYCCAGCTTCCCTTAGTGCAAACTAAACTGAACAACAAAGAATGTTACTGATTAAGCACTTACTTTTCCCCACACTACGTTYAAAATGCATTTTCTCAAAGTTTCTGAGACAAATAAGATCTCCTCTAGCCCCTGCTCCCACACCGCACATTCAGCCTTACAACTTTACACATTAGAATGCAAAGCACCTCCATTCAGGCATTAAGAATGAGAAACAGACTTTAAAGTTATGAAACTGCTGCAAAGCCACAAAGATGGCTTTCCCCTTTCTCTCCCTTCTTCCCCCACAAGAAGGATTTTGTATCACTCTCTGTGCTGCACTTTGCATAAACATGAGACGTGAAGAGAGTTTAGGAATTAGTACCTCCTTTCTCCCCATTTTGGGGGCATGAGGATCTACAGCAATTCCGGTTACAGCAGCATGTGACATCACCATACAATGCTGCCAAAACGATGCTAGCAAGCTCTGGCAAAGAAAAAAGGTATGATGGCTAAAATYTGCAACATGAAGGTTGAAAGATAAAGTTTATCTTTCTTTATTTTTCCCCCAATAAGTTTGATATATTTTTTTACATTAAAGAAATATGGTGAAATTGAAAAAAATACATACACTAGAGCTTGCTTCTCTGTTAATTTCAAATTRCTTACAAATCATTTGTTCTTCTCTCTGGCAATTAAGCTTGTAACATTTAGAAGTATAAATGGCAAGAGAAAAGTTAAAAGCATACAYGTGAGGTGCCACTGCTTATGGTGGTAAAAGTTTTAATTATTTAACAACAAGTGATAGAAATCTAAATTGATTTATTACTTAGTGAGAGACATCTAAAATTCATCCGTATCGTATCACCAATAGAGTGAACACCAAAAAGAACCCAGCATGAGAAAGGAAGCTATTTTTCTGCTATTAAATCACAGTTCATATGCCATAATATAAATAAGGTAAAATCCCCAGCAAACATCTAAAAAGATGACCTCATAGATTTGTAGATTTACAGGAGAGCAGAGACAAAGCAGCAATTTCCCTCAGAAAAGAAAGAGAATATTTCTGTACTGTGTACACTCTGATGTAAGCAAAAGTTGGCCCAGCATTTTGCCCCAGATGCATTTTGAAATGACATTTATACAGCATTCAATCTTTTTTTTAAAAAATAAAACAGCACCAGGCTGGAAGTAGGTGAAGTTGGAAGAAAGCAAGGAAGGTAGGAGCTCACAGGTTTAGTCAGGTTGGGAGAGCATACTGCTTTGTTCCACTGTCTACAAATACCCAGCTGCCTGGGATATGGCCACATTCTGTACAGGAGAGAAATTAAATATCTGGAGGCCCTCAAAGATCAAGTACAACTTCTCAAGGTCAGATCTGCTGAAACAGTGGACGGATTGAGACAGAAAGATTTATAGAGGTGGCATTATGTTCATCACAAGAGGCTATTAAGGCAACTTGGTAACCATGGGTGAGAAGCAAAGCCCCAACAGAATAAAAAAAAATGGTTGAGACATAAAACAAAGGGAAGAAATAAACAGCCARTTCTTATTACATGGTAAGATTAATAGCAGGGAGTGCCACAGGTCTTGGTATCAGGACCGCTGTTCTATAAATTTCCTAAAGAACCAAAGTCATGAAGAAACAAGACGCATGAATTTAAAAAAAGGCACCAAGAGTAGAAAACGGGGAAAAAAAGGGAAGGCTTGATTYTACTGCCATTGAATTGAAAAGCAAAATCTCCTTTTATTCCAGTCCAGCAGGACTGGGTCTTTTTTTTTTTTCCACAGCTAAGTTTAAGAATGAAAATAAACAACTCTAGGATTAACAATTAAGAAGCAGGTAACTGGATTAGTAATACACAATGTAATGATAAAATACTTCCATTCGCCATTAAGATTTAAATTTATGTAGCATTTTGATGAAAAAAACCCCAAACACAACCTGATGCTAWTAAAATGGAGCAATCTGATTCTGTGCTTTTTGCCAGGAGGCCCATTTGTTGTGAAAAGAACTGGGAACAATACAAGAAGTCTTGAGTGGTTGCAATGCAAATGATGCAATGTCTTAATGCAATCAGCAGAAACTTACTTTTACGATTTATTTACTTAAAGAAGGCTTTGGCTATTTGACTAGAAGCGGCTCAAAGCAGTACCTGACTGCTTTCCCAGCTACAGTACCTACAGTGATTATGCTGTCCACTCTTGAATGACCTTCTGTAAATAATTATTGCTACTGATAAAATACTCACTGTGTGTTACATGAGTAAGGCAAAGGGAGTATAAAGACTTGATTCTTTTGTTTGGTAATTACCTGTCCTGATGCCCCTTCCCAAATAAGCATGCAATTAATTCTATACTTTAATAGGAGGGGATCRTTAGAGAACTTTTTATTTCATCAACTTGTTATTAATTCTAGCTGCCCCAAAGGTTACATGGAAAGCAACTTTACACAAAAACATTSTATGTATTTTTGGTATCACCAGCACATCTTTTCAAGAAACCACTGGCTACTCAACCAACCTACCTGATTTTAATTACTGCCATCCCTAAAAAACCCCCAACAAAACAGCAAACATAAATGAACAAAGAAACACACACACACAAACACAAAATCCTGTTCTAATGGGAATATAACTACCATATAAAGGGGATGGAGAGAATTTCAACAGGAAGTGMCAAAACAATCCTTAAGAGATGTCAACCATTCAGCACACAACCTTGACAAAGGTCCTAATATTTCAGTTACAGGAAGAAAAGCCCTTGTGCTACTGAATTATAATCAAATGCTTCATAGAGAATAGCATTCCCACTCCTCAGGCTCATAAAAAAAGGAAGTGACAACTTTTTAAGTGAAGGCTTCCTACTTAACAGAAGTCTGAACAGTTCAAACTATGCATTTTTCTTCCTAGAATGATATTGTGTGTACCAGCTTGACAAGTGATCCATTTTTGAGGATGCTGTTTTAGATAAAAAGGAAGTATTCCACAGTTAAGACTCTGTGGGAATAKGTAATTTTTTACAATAATACAAAATCTCACCAAAAGATTCTCAGATACATGTAGCTCCCATGAAAAGATGTAACTRCATCAACTTCCAAACAGCATCACATTTTATATCAGTTATTTCCCATGCACATCTAGAGCACAAAACAATCTACAGCCACTATGAGGTAATGTACTCTCTGGGGAACAGATTTACACTTGAGACAAGTATTAGGGCCAAAATGCCAATTCATTTTAGACTTAAGCCTGCTCCAGTTGAAAGCAGCCTTTGTAATGAAAATTGACCATAAACATGCTGACCCTCTGCACATGAATAATGTTAGCTAACACAACTCTTAGGATTTAACCATAAGAAATATAAATTTATCAGCAGTTTTTATAATCATACAATAAACAAGATGCAGATTGTTTTTGTTAATTTAAACTTTAGCTATACAACATATTTCTAACATAAYGGTGAGCTGCCTTGTAATAAATGATTGGTGTCTCAGGAAAGTCAGCTTGTTTTACCATTGCCAGTAGACTTGTCTTTTTGCTAGACAGAAGACACAATAAATACATATCTAAGTAGATATGAAATCTTGAATGTGCAGAGTCTGGCATGTTACTCCAAGTAACCTTTCAGACTGAACAAAAATTTTGCATGTTCCATGGCCTTCTGTGGAGTAAAAATGCATCTTTCTTACTAGAGATTTGAATGGAAATAGACCCTCCTTACTAAGAACAGCTTAGTAAGAGAATGAGAGACTCAGAAGGGAATGGTAACCTTGAAAGAGTAATGAAAGACCACTTAACCTTCTTTTTGTTGTCTCCCCTTCAGAATCAAACCTTGAGTAACTTACTGCACTTCCTTTGTAAATGACAAATAAGCCATGACGTGGAAACCCATCCAAAAAAAGGAAACCATACTAAAAAAACACTATCACAAATACCTTTTGATAACTGAAGCTTGGACAGCAAGAAGAGGAATTTTTGACAGAGTGCTATTCTAGGCTGTTGTTGCACTCTCTTGAGTAACATGTTCTAGCCAAGAAACACATTACCTGTCTCCTACTTCAGCWCTCAGACACTACAAAAGAGGTTTCATCACTTCCAAATAACTTGCATACCTCTTTGAATTGACACAATTGGATAGTTGAAACCATCTTAATKCATATTTAGCATATTTATCTCTCTGAAGCTTTTAGAAAGATCATATAGCAATAAGCAATATCCACTAAAGTAAGCATGGTGAGTCTCAAACTTTTTTTCCTCCCTCTTTTCTTGAATTCTCAGTATTTYGCAGCATATATCAAGGATTTATTAAAATTACCTGATTGGTTCCTAGCTATTACATAATCCTCARAGATCTGCAGGACGTATAAAGCARYAYGTTAAGTGTTGCTYTAGTAAGGTGGGATTAGGTAAGTGRAACCAAAGAACCAAATCATGCTGTTCATGACAACTCCACCACTATAAGTCAAGGGAAATTCCTTGAAAGCCAAGAAAAGCTTCTTGAAAGCCATACCTGACAGAAGTTACTGGGCCAGAAATATTCAAACTTGATTGTCTCAWATGCCATTATGCAGCAGATTTACTGTGGTATGAATTCAGACTTAACAATAGGACTACTCAGGACTTTCCAATACAGCAAAAGGACAGAGAGCAGCTATTGGGTGGCGAGTACAAAGGAGTCTTTCTGCGTGTCTGTTTTCTAGTCAGTTCATTCTTCCCATAACCCAAGAAATGTATTACAACCTCCAGTAAAAACAAGGTGGTTCTGTAGACAGTATGAAACATAGTTCAACATATATTGAAACAATGCACATAAGACAACCATGTTCATTCTCTAAAAACTACTATTTACATTATTTTTTTCTTTAATTTTACAAGAAAAAACTCTAAGTAAACTAAATTGGCAGTGTTACAGGTTAAAATAACCAACCAACCCCTCAAAAAAACCCAAACCAAACTAACAAACAAGAAACACCAAAAGAAAAAGTAATTTTTGAACAATGTTAAGTYCTTTTGTTCACAATATAGTGACTGTGTAA